TTTTTGTAGTCTCTATCTAGCAACAAGAAGCAAGCATCTGTTTTACTCCATTGACTGAAAACTGCAGCAACTTCACTTAATTTCAGTAGCAGTCATTAAATCTGCACTGAGCTATCAAAAAACAGGGTAATCATTTTTGTACACTTACTTTGTAGTTGTATGGTACTCTATACAACCCTCTAAATGTTACTGGAAGTAATACACTCCCCTACTGATGAAGTGTAATTCTTTGTGTTTTTAATTCTAGCTGGAAAAGCAGCTCACCTTTGAGAAGCTCCAGGAGTGGACGTGTCCAGAGCATCTATATTCCAGTGATGTCCATGTGCATTTGCCAAAATTTGAGCTAGAAGAGAGCTATGACCTTAAATCAGATTTAGCAGCTATGGGCTTGTTGGACATATTTGACAGTGCCAAGGCTGACTTGTCAGGAATGTCAGGGGCACATGACCTTTTCCTCTCTGAAATTGTACACAAGGCTTTTGTAGAAGTGAATGAGGAGGGCACAGAAGCTGCAGCTGCTACTGCTGGCATTGCGATGCTTCGCATGATTATAGAAGAGGATTTCAATGCTGACCATCCTTTCCTTTTCTTTATTCGCCACAACCCAACACAAAGCATACTTTTCTTTGGCAGATATGCTTCTCCATGAAAAATAACCCATCATTTGCAAAACAGTTTCTGCTGCAATCAGCAAATGCTTTGCTTATGAGCAAGTTGAATTTTGATACAGAATGTCATGGTTCCTGTCTTGAGTTCTCAGTAACTGTCACTATGATTCTGCATTTCACATTTAAATAATCAGATAGAAAATGGATTAGTAACTCTTAGCCTCCCCAGAGATTCAAAGTTCCTGTACTCACTAGGAAGTAACCTAAAGAGCCTTAACTTCTTCGGCAGAAGTAGTCTTCTTTTGAAATTGGGCTAGCAGTGAAAATATTCTTGGAAGTAACTTGAACTTTTAGGACACCAGATCACTATCTCTCTTTGTACAGATTTCTCTGTATTTACAGAGAAGGCTGACAACACCCAATGCAGTACAGTCATTCCTCATACGTGTGAGCTAGGATGTAGTTGGAAAGCTATCGCTTCCATAAAGTCTTGTTCTTCAAATATACATTAACATCAAAATAATTAATTTAATATAATTAAAACTTCCAGGTACCAAAAGACTTCCTCCAAAACAGCTGAGTTTACCCAGCTCTGTCACGGAATAGAAGGTCAGATAACATTTGTTTGGAGACATCTATTAATAGACAAAGGATTAAGCTATTTAAACAAAAGTAACCCCTTCCAGACATTAGCCAGAAAACTTACAATACAACTTTTACATGATGAAAAAGAGAAAATAATGTATTTAGGCGATATGTCTAAAGAGAATTTTTCAAATGTGGAATTAGGTGCCATTTTAGTTATTGAAAAAAAAATGTGAATGTTTCTTCAAGTTCAGGTATTTTCAACAGAGGATAGCTTCTGGCTAGATGCTAGGTGAACCTCAAAAAAAAAAAACTTTTCAGCGTCCCAGAAGATGACTGCCTATAGCCTGCAACAAATGCTTCATGTTTATGTACAAAATTCAACATTTGTTGAGCTCTGACGTCCACTACCTGTTTATACATAACTCCTTACATTGTACAGCCACCTTATACTTGGGAGCAAATACATGCTGTTAATATTCCATTTAGTTCTGAATGTTACTTTCCTGTGTTGTGTATATTCTGGATACTGTTTCCTTGTGTTTACCTGTACAGTCTCAGTTCTAAGCAGGGCACAAACATTTATGCAATTGTAAACTGCACTGCAATTTTTTCAATTAAGCACCAAATAAAGAGTTTATCTTCAACTCATGTTCCAAATAGAGACATCTGCACATCATTTTGTATTTCAGAGTACAAAAGTAACTGTCACTGTGACTAGAAGGCTAGCTCCAAAGCAAGCCACTGGCCCAGTACACATTATCAGATGCATGAAGCCCTTGGCCTGTTCAGAGTAGATAAAAACAACAAAAAACAACCTCATCTCTAGAGAAGAAATTATTACGTGAATGTAATGCAATGGAAAGCTCAACAACACAGCAAAACAGCAAGATACCAGGCTGCAATGACCAAGGATTCACTCAGATCCAAAAACAGCAGGTGCAGAAATAAGGAAAACCAAAACCTCCTTACCTTCAGAAGGAGTAAATCATCCTCAGATAAACAGGAATCTCCAAATAAGATACCTTTACCTCCACTGCCAGCTCTTAAATAAGGTCTGGGAAGGGGTGCATCCTGGCTTCACCCCTTCTGGTCACTCAGCTTCATTGCTTGCACCTGAGCTCCCCTGGGCTGGCACTGCCTTCCTACCAGGTCCTCAATCACTGTTTCAAGCAATGGCAACTTTTCCACTGCGGTGAATCATTAGCTTCCCCTGCAAGTGTAATGGCTCCATCTGCTAGCACAGGGAATGAGGACTGAGTAACACTTTATATTAAATGGCAGTCACTGAGTTGGCATATTGGTTACATGTTTGTGTTACTGGTGCCCTGGTTTCAAAGGCTGTGTTTAGTTTATACACTTAATCCAAAATTTGGAGAAATGTATGCTCATTGTGATTGTAAGGCAGAAATATTAGTGCTTACATAAACTCTTTATGATAGCCCATTAATTTCAGCAATTTAAAAAGATTTTAAAAAAACACCCCATACTCTGCCATTTGGCTGATATCTATCTGAATCATACAGTTTGAGTTGCTCTTCCTACAAAGTAAATGTCATAGCCTGGATAAGTAGGACAGCTATGGTTGGGTTTTACCTACCCTTACCTTGAGTTAATTCAGAGCACGTTGAGTAAGGTTTGCACTGTTGAATCTTTTTGCATAATTACATGGGACCACAAATCAAGTGAAGTACATAAACCAGATGAAAAATCTCAAAAGTCATGGAGGCAGATACACGTCTTCATTTTTCAATATGTTTTGACTAGACAGGAATATCAGTGACCTGGATGAGGGGACAGAATGCACCCTTGCCCAGTTTGCTGATGATACAAAGCTGTGAAGTGTGGCTTATACACTAGAAGGCCATTCAACAAGACCTGGGCAGATTGGATTGCTGGGTGGAGATGAACCTGATGAGGTTCAGCAAGGAGAGGGGCAGAGTCCTGTAGATGAGGAGGAATAACTGCATGCACCTGTACAGGATGGGGGATGACCTGCTGGAGAGGGGCTTTGCAGGGAAGGACCTGGGTGTCCTGATGGGCATCAGGCTGGCCATGAGCCAGCAATGTGCCCTTATGGCCCTGAAGGCCAATGGGATCCTAGGGAGCATTAAAAGAGTGTGCCTAGCAGGTCAAGGAAAGTGATCCTTCCCTCCTACTCTGCCCTGGTGAGGTCACATTTAGAATACTGTATCCAGTTATGGTTTTCCCTGTTCAAAATAGACTAGGAGTTACCAGAGAGAGAGTCCAGTAGAAGGCCACAAAGATTATCAGAGACATGCAGCATCTTACTTACGAGGAAAGACTGAGAAACCTGGGACTCTTTGGCCTGGACGGGATTCTTATCACTATAAAAATTGAAAGGACGGATATCAAGTATATAAGGCCAGCCGCATTTCAATGGCGCCCAGGGACAGAACAAGGGCACATAGTCACAAATTGGAGCATAGGAATTTCCATCTGATCATGAGGAAAATCTTTGAGGATGACAAACCAGCGGAACAGACTGCCCAGAGCAGCTGTGGATTTTCCTTCTCTGGAGACATTGAAAATGCACCTGGATGTTTTCCTATGCAACTTGCTGTAGGGAACTGCTTTAGCAGGGGGTTGGATTGGATGATCCCCAGAGGCTACATCCAACCCCCATAATTCTTTGATTCTGTTAACATGACCACTGCAATTAATTTAAGACTGTGGAAATAGAAAGGTGCAAATGAAATCAGAAATTAGCTTTTCTTAACTCTTTATCATATTGAACCTGTCGGACCTTTTCATGTCATCTTGTGACACCAAGTAAAGACAAGTTCCTATACATGTGCATTAAATGTCCATGCAAATTCTTACTTCTTAACAATGCATACTTTGCTCTGAAAGTAATGCTTCCTATTTATTTTCATGGAAATTGCAATAGATACAAAGAGCAAAATAATACTCATAGAGCAAATTCTCATCTACAAAACACTATTTTTCACCATACTCCAGCCCTCTGCTGAAGGAGGTTGAATAGTGTAGGCTGCACAGGAAAGGGTGAGTGAACACTTTTATGTCAGCAATTGGTACAAAAAGCAATGCTACTATTTTGTACTGCATCCAGACCAGAACAAGCCAAAAACTGTCTGTCCACATTTCAGAAAGTGTAAACAGTTCATGGAAGATAGATTACTGTAAAGAGAAAAAACACGTGCAGTATAAACGTGCAAATTTACTTCCCCCGAAGTACCACAATTACAAACAAAAATCATGGAATGATGGAGGGTGATGGAGGCCCAGGCTGGGGCCTCTGTGTTTTTGTCTCTGCTCACCTCCATCTACATGTCTAGAAAGTACAGAGACAAATCACCAAAGCAGATTCCCTCCCAAACCATCCACTGTGACAAGAGCAAAAACTTATCAGAGGAAAGAGAGACACAGAAGTGTAAAGAATCAAAATCAAACCCAGTAACAGCAAACAGCGATTTAATCTACTTTGTCTTGAATTGCAAGAATTTTTAAAACGGAGAACAGCTTTATATGACTACAATCAGGCTGGGAGCCTCGGAACAATAAGCTTCCATCAGAAAATTTATAGAACAATAAGCCATCTTGTTGTACGTGCCTGGGTCTGTGTATCATGGCCTGAGCCACCCAATGGGCCTGTGGGAAGACAAGGTGTGAAACAGTGATGTGCAAAACAGAGACGTGTGAAACACTGACACTGAGCACACGAGATGTGGGGGGGAATGGAGCGGGCAGCGGTGCTGGGGAAAGCCCAGGAACGTGTGCTGGGGCTGCAGTGCTGCTGGCACGCGTGCAGCAGGTGAGGCCGGAGCACGGTGATGAGCATCAATGGACGGCGACATCGCTGTGGGACGGGTGGTGATGTCACCCAGTGAAGGTGAGCACTGGCGACACGGCCGAGCCGTGGTTTGTGACGTCTCCGTGCGACGCATTGTGACTGCTTGGCCCACGCTGCTTGAACGCGGGCGCGGCAGCCCGGCCCGGCAGTTCGTGCCTGGCCTCCGACCGAGCGAGTGTGCGAGGACTGGAGTGTGGACAGGGCGAGCTTGGGAGCTGAAACGTGCTCTGGGTGCTGCTAGCGCAGCTCTCAGACGCCGTCTCAGAGCCACTTTGCTGTACCCCGACCCTGCTGGCAGCAGGCAGCCGGGACATCGCGGAGAGGCGCGTGCAGCAGCGCAGGTAGGCAGCATGGCAATGCCTCACGCCGGCAGCTGGAGGGGGATTCCTGAGGGACCCTCCCCAGGCCGGCCCATGCCCGTGGGGCCTCCTGTCCTCTTCCAGCGTGACACCTGCTGTCACAGCATCTCCTGCTGGTGGAAGCATGGAGGTGACATTAGATACCTACAGCCCCACAGACCTGGAGAAGTGGGACTGCATGGTTGCACCATGGCACGCTGCCACCATTTTTGTTTCCACTTCACCCAGCCGTGCAATAGCAGCAGGCCCCAGGGTCCACACTGCAAACAGGGCATGCGGTCCATCATCCATGCAGTGCGAGACTTGGAGCACTGAGCGAGTTGGTTGCGTTGAGCTGTGGGGCTGCTGGCACCAGTTCTTGGTGCCCGTCCCACAGTATCAGCAGCGTTTCCCTCAGCCCTGCCTGCCTTGGGCAGCTGGGGCCGCACAGGGTGCGCTTGTAGCAGCAGAGGTGAGTGGTGCAGGACATCACGGCCCCTGCAGCAGCTGGTGGGGAACAGGGACCGGGAGGGTTTGCTGCTGAGGGACCGGGGCAGCGAGTGACCGCAGGCTCTCTCTCTCTTTTGCAGTTCGTAACACCTTCTGCTTGCTGCAGCACCAGCGAGGGGAGCAGCTTCCCGACCTCAGCTCTCCCCAGCCCACCGCACAGCCCGGGGCCATGGACGTGGCATCCGACTGGGTCTGCCCCATCTGCGGGCAAATTCGGGAGGATGTCACCTACGTGACCCCCTGCCAACACCAGTTGTGCTACGGCTGTGCCATCTGGTGGGCCAGCAAGAAGCCGAGTTGTGCTGTATGCGGGCACAAAATTACAACCATCCGATACTCGGTGAGGTCGGATGATGACTTCCTCGAGTGTGCTGTCCCGCAGCCCGCAGTGCACTCAGACCAAGATCAAGGCCTGCAGGAGGAGCAGGGGCCTGCAGAGCCGGTGCTCATCCCACCTGAGCACAACTTTCCAGCCGAGGTCTGGGCTGCATTTTTCAGAGAACACCAGGGAGACCTCGAACCCCTGCTCCAATGGCTGCAGGAGGAGATCCAGCAGCAGTCCAGCGATGACTGGTGGGAAGTCTATGCAGCACAGTGGACCACCATGAACTTCCTGTGCGAGCATGGACTGGATGAGGAGGCCTTGCTGCAGGCGCTGCAGCCGATCACCGACGGCGATGTGGTGCCCTTCGTGAGAAGGCTCATCGGCACCGCAGCAGCCCTGTACGGCCCCACGATCCGCCACGAGCTGGACCACCGGGACAGCCACGCTGCTGGAGGACGGGAGGACGGACCTGCAGCCAGCGCCATCACCAGCACCTCCCATCTGGAGCCTCCCGCCTCGGGCCCAGGCCGCTCCACCAGCCCCGCAGGGCCCAGCGCCGAGGAGCTGCCTGGCAGCTCTCCTGGGGGACCCGGGCGCCCCAGCACCGCCACCGCGCCCTCAGCAGAGGAGCCCCAGGAGGAGCCAGGGCAGGCGGCGGCAGCGGGCCCCTCCGCCCAGGGCAGGGACCGCTCGCGTGGGGGGCCCCGGCGCCCCCCGAAGAGGAAGGCCAGCAGCAGCCGCCAGGACTCGTCCCCACCCCGCAAGAGGCGGCCCTGGCGGCGGCGCTAGGCCGGCACCGCACTGCCGTCAGAGCACGGCTCCGGCAGGCCGGGAGGACGACATCTACCTCTCGGCCTGCTGCTTGCAGACAAAATAAATAAAATGAACATCTGTTACAACAAAGAAGAAAAAGTCTCTGTGTTATTGACCAGGCCGTTGGCGTTGCTGTCCGTACCCATGACGCTTCCTCCATATTCCGCTCCTTGGGGAGGGCGTAGAAACACAACCTTATTTCCACCACCAGGAATCGGCACTCATGGCAGTGCTAACAAACCATGTGAGGGCTTCAACAAGTCGGCGATGGAGCACAAGTTACTCCAATGATCCCCCCATTTAAACTAGCAGGGGGAAGGGCAAATTTCTGCCCCTGGGGTGGAACACCTCCTGGCCACACCGCAGCCGGAGCCACCCAGCTGGACAGGACCCAGGAGTCCTGCCGGACTCTCGGCTGAACCAGCAAGGAGCGCTGCCCGCAAAGGTGAGTGCTGAGCTGGGCTGCACCAGGTGCCAGCGTGCTGCCAGCGTGCAAAGGGCGCTGATCCTGCCCCTCTGCTCAGCTCTAAGGAGGCCACAGCTGGAGCGCTGGGCCCAGCGATAGGCTCCCCAGCGCAGGGGAGAGCTGCCCTTGATCATCTTGCACGTCCTCAGCCCTGGGATGTGCTAACTGTCCCTGTCCCAACTGCCCAGGGCTTGCTCGGCTTGGTGCTGAGTTTGGAGGATAGTGGGGCGTGCTGTGAGGAGCAGGGCTTGTCCTCAGCCTCAGAGGAGCCAGTCCACCACGCAGGTGTGACACTCCCTTGTATGTAGGAGGACAAAGCCGAATTATTTAAGTGCAGGCATTCAATTTGCATGGCTCAGCTGTTCAATCCAAAGTTCATGCTAAAACACAGCTCAGAATACAAGACGATGCTTTACTACAAGGAATATCCTTTCCAAAAGCATTTACCAAAATGTTACGCTAACCATTGGAAGTGATGCAACTTCAAAATCATACAACCGTGGAATGGCCTGGGTTGAAAAGGACCACAAAGATCATCTAGTAGGCAGGGCTGCCAGCCACCAGACCAGGCTGCCCAGAGTCACATCCAGCCTGGCCTTGAATGCCACCATGGATGGGGTGTCCACAACCTCCTTACGCAACCTGTCCCAGTGCTTCACCACCCTCTGAGTGAAAAACTTCCTCCTAAGATCTAACCTAAATCTCCCATCTGTTTAAAATCATTCCCTCTTGTCCTATCACACTTTCCACCCATGTTAACAGCCATCCCCCTCCTGCTTATACGTTCCCTTTAAATACCGGAAGACCACAATGAGGTCTCCCCGGAGCCTTCTCTTCTCCAAGCTAAAAAAGCCCAGTTCCCTCAACCTTTCTTCACAGGAGAGGTGCTCCAGCCCTCTGATCATCTTAGCAGCCCTCCCCTGGACCCATTCCAAGAGCTCTTCCTTGTACTGGGAGTCCCAGGCCTGGATGCAGTACTCCAGATGGGGCCTCACTAGAGCCAAGTAGAGGGGAACAATCACCTCCCTCTCCCTGCTGGCCTTCCCTTTTCTAATGCAGCTCAGAATGCGACAGTGTAATTACAACAGTGGAACAAACAAAAAGCTTCCAGGCTGCAAGAACACACCGCTGGCACGTGTCCAGCCTCTCATTCACTAGGACCCCCAAGTCCTTCACTGTAGGGCTGCTATCGATGAGTTCTTCCCCCCAGTTATAAATAGCGGAGATTGCCTCAGCCCAAGAGCAGCACCTTCTCTTGGCCTTGTTGAACCTCATTAGGTTGACATGGGCCCACTTCTGACGGTCTAGCTCCTTCTGGATGGCTTCCTCTCCCCTGCACCGCTGCACAGCTTGGTGTCATCTGCAAACTTGCTGAGGTTGCACTCGATGCCATCGTCTATGTCACTGATGAAGATGCTGAAGATCACCAGTCCCAAGACTGACTCCTGAGGGACACTGCTGGTGACCAGCCTCCACCCTGACACCATTCATCACCACTCTTTGGCTGTGACCAGCCAAACAATTCTTAATCCACTGAACAGTCCGTCTTTTGAATCCACACCTCTCCAGTTTTGAGAGAAACAATCAATTCAGAGACTTTTATGACTACCCTGGTTCCAAAAATAATTTACATTTGCCATAGAAGAAGACATGATAAATGAAAGGATCTTCAGACTTACACAACCACACTGCTGACATAAGTATTCAAACAAATGCAAAAGCATTGTTTTCTACAAGTTTATTAGTTGAATAAATGTTGTTGGAGAAAATTTGAAAAATCATAAAAGGAAGAACTACATTGTAATTATATTTTGTTTCCTGCACTTCCTCCCACAGTGTGGGAGAGGAGAACACAGTCTCTTTATTCTTCTGGAAAATAAACATTCTAAAAGTTTGAATTGGATACACATTTTGAAAAGCAGCATGATCATATTCCTTATTTCTCTACAAGAGCCAAAAATGGAAGATAGTTTTTTCTCCAATTCCCTCGAACCAGTGGGTGACAGAAGTGACAGAACTCTATTGCAAAGCTTACTTTGATATTTCCATACTGCCTGACTGCAGTGGTTTACAAAACTCCTTTGGAATGACAGCAGAAAAAAACAAGAATACTTCAAGGGCGGAGTGACTTCGTCCTCTCAGCTCCAAAAATATTGGGCTGCAATCAGCAGGGAAATCTTCATCCCAATACAAATGTATGCATCATAAAAACAAGAAGTATTCAGAGCAGGGCTGTCACGTTCTTCGTTCCTTAAAGAAGTCTGTTCCTTTCAGCTCTTCTGGCAGATAGTCCTGCTCCACAGGTTCCTTGTACATGGGGTTATACTTGTAGCCTTTACCATAGCCCAAGTCCTTCATGAGCCTCGTCGGGGCATTTCTCAGGTGCAGTGGAACTGGTGGTAAAGGTCCTGTGTGCATCCTCAGACATTCTTTGACATTGCCATATGCCCTGTACACCTCTATAGACTTTGGTGCTCTTGCAAAATACACTACACATTGTGCTAGAATGACCTGGAAACAAGGAAGGGAAAATGTTAAATGATTTGTTTTAAGCTCTAGTGTCTATTATCCAGATGTTTTGTGTAGCATGACAAGGCCTTCATGTATATACTGACCTCCTGGTGCTGCTACTGTATGAATATTATTTCACAACAACACAGTCCTTCATGACTTTGGCTACTAGTAAAGAAGAGATACTTTACAACAGCTGGATATATGACTATTTATAATTGAAAGAAAACAAGAATAGGAGAAAAACAAAGTTATTTGAAATACCACAACATGTGCTCAGTGACATTTCAAGGACAGCTTCTATTTCTGGAGCAACAATGTTTTCTCACTCCAAGCCTTGCCTAGAAGGGACCAATAGATTTGCCTTGCTCTCGCAATCTCAGTTTCTTTCTGATAATTACAACAAGATCTTACAATTTAAGTTACTCTTAGATCAGTGAACTAATGAAGCCTTTACCTCGCATTCTGGCATTCCAATGAAGTGACAACCTTGATAAGCAGCAACTGCTTGTGTTAAAGCCAAAGGATCTGCCAGCCCTGTAACAACGGATTACATGAAAGCAGGTTAAAGTCAGTTTACTAGAATCACGTTTCTTCTTCTCTGCCATGGAAGGCTCCCCATGCACACTTCAAAGCTGCAGTCTCAGGTGGTGGTCGAACACCCACTAAAATACTTGGCAACACATGAGATAGATGCTTTCCATCCATAACCTTCTCACTTTTCCTTTTGAAAGCCTGAATCTGTTGCCACAGAGTGGCGGCCTGAGCAGTAGCAGGTAGTGTAGGATTCACTTCCTTTTTGTGAAAAAGAAATGGGGAACTATTGCTATACAGACATAGCTTCCCCAGATCTACTAAGTCTTCACTCATCATTTACATACTAAAAATATTGCTGCTTCTGTTGCTCAGGATAAACAAAATGCCTTAAAACTACTGACCCACCTATCATGAGGTTTGCACATCACGGTAGGCTTTTGGCTTCCACAGTAATTACAGCAGTGGAACAAACACAAAAACCCAGACATCCCTGCCACACACCTTCTCTGTGACACAAGGTGTCCTACAGTCATGGCTAGATTGGAAACTATCGGTATTTATACACTATCAAAACCTAACCTCAAAAATCTTTGTTCCTCCAGCAACAGTCACCACAAGGACATCAAATGTAGGCTTCTGTCTGCATACACTTTTTGTTGGCCACGATCCATTTCACTACTTCATACCTGTTGTGCATCCAGTATTTGTTTTGGTATTTATTTCACCCCTACCCCACAAGTACTAAATGTTGAAGGTCAGAAGACTGGCAGATCTTAGTCCAACATAGTATCCCAACCAAGAAATACTGAAAGTATGTACCTATGTCTTCGCTTGCAAACCTCACCAGCCTCCTTGCCACGTAGAGTGGATCTTCACCACCTTCAAGCATTCGAGCAAGCCAGTAGAGGGAGGCATTTTCATCTGAGCCTCTCATAGACTTATGCAGGGCAGAGATGCAATTGTAATGTTCTTCTCCTATTCACAATGGGGGAGCAGAGATAAAGAGAGCTATTTGGAGGAAAAGGAGCAAAGTACATTTAAGAGAACAGAACGTATTTCCTTAGATCACAGTAGGTAAACATAACCTGCTTCATCCAGTTCTCTTCAAACACAGATCATGCTGTTCATCGGTGTTCTCAGCACCTTCATGCTCTCACATGTTGATCACCACACCAGCAGCTAACAGCACAGTAGATAAAGATAAGAGTGGTCTGTTCTGTTGCTTAAACATTATATGGCCAACAATTTGCTTCTGACACCCTACGGCCTTTCCTTCAGAAAAAGGAAAAGAAGTTGGGAAGAAGACCATGTATCTGTATCTCCTAATGCACACAAACTAAGGTATGAGAATATATCAGCCACGAAACATGGCTTTGGGATCTATACATAGAGTGCTGAGAAGGCAGCAGAAGAATAAAAGAAAAGCAATTATATATGCAGGAGATATCTTAGAAAAAGAAAT